TGTCTTAAGGAAGTACGACATCCTCAACTACAACAAGTGCACAAGGATCATACTCAGAAAAAAAAAACTTACAAAAAGGCCTGATGACAATGTTTACAATGTTACAACCTTAGTTAACAACTCAACCCACACTACTTCCTGTCCCCTCCTTTTTGCCACACCACAGAAGTACATTTTTAGGTTGATTTTGTTACTGCACCATGTTACTGCACCAATAACATGAGCCAGAAAGAATTCATTTCAAGTTCCTCATGTCCACTGTAAATACAGTAACTGTCCACATGTCAACATTGTACTGTGGGACTGATCATCTGTTATCCAAATACCTCTATCACGCACATGAACACCCTTCACACAGAGCTGAAGTAATTTTAATTCATAACAAACACAGCCAAGTCCATTTTAAAAGTGTCACCCTTTTTAAATTTGTTTTTGAAAAAGATAGCTGTAACAGTGACACATCTAAACACACTTGTGACGTCGTTTCTACAAAGGAAATCAAACATTGTTCAGAAAATTGGACCCAACACTGTTGCAGAAGTTTCCACTGGTGTGTTGCACTTGCTGCTTTGCTTTCATCTTGTGTCCAGTTCATCCCAAACAGGCTCCATGGGGTTAAAGTCTAGAGACTTCCAACGCTGCCTTTGTACAGACAGGGGGTTTATATCATCAACAGAAGTTGGAGCAGCTGTAAGAATTGTTTGCACTAACTTTCCAGGCTTAATTTACTTATTAACCCAATACTTGATCCCTGATTATAACTCTGAAATGTACATGATTTTATTTTTTATTTGTTTTTACCTTGAGCAGTTTAGCCAACCATTTAGCTTTGTGCCATTTGGTTATTCACTGGACTTAAACTGCTGAAATTTCAATAAAAACTGGAAGAATTTGGGTAGCTCATAAGTAGTTCAACCAGGTGTTCATCCACCTATGTAATGCAAACATAACTTCCATGTTCTCCAAGTTCATTAGCTTAAATAACTGAAAAATGTTGGAATTAAATACAAATATTAAAAACTGAAGTTTATCAAACAAAAAATTTACAAAAAGTGTGTCCTGCATGTTCACTCGAATGAACATAACAACACAATAGAACATGTAAATCAGATATGGCATATATGCCTCATGTTAAGTGCAGTGTCTTGATATTGTGCTATTGACAGAATTAAGGATTTAAAAGTAACACTGAATAAAAGCAGACGATCCAAAAACACAAGCTTTACATGTGTAGAGCAGCTCCGAGGTGCTGCCAACTTTCTAAGAAGATAAACTGAAGACATAAAAACTTGCCAAACTGTGTTTTTGTTATTATTGATCATTTGTTAAGATTTCTCGTGTAAATCTTTTTATTTGAAATAGTCAAAACAAGACTTTGCTTGCAAAAACTTCTTCCATAATTTAATGTGTACTAAGACCCAATGTACAAAAAATTTAAATTGGCTTAAATGCAGTTAGAAAATTGTACACAGAACAACAGCAAACCAGCTGTACCATGACCCCTCAGCATGATGTACACATCAACCTGGATGGAAGAAGAAATCTACAAAGTAACATACAAGTTGGTTCAGCAGCACTGACTGTGCACACCTGACCTGTTCACATTCACTTGGTTACAAATTATTATTAACATTTTTTTTTCCCCAGTCAGTAATTTTCCCCTTTATTTGTTACACAAAGGTGTTATGCTTTTGTAAAGAAATATATATATCACTGCCTGGTCCATATTTTTAAGTGAAAATCCCATTGACAAGATGACGTCACGACTATAATGTGAACATTTCTAAACAATAGCATGATGTCAAAAAAAATCAGAAAAAATATTTGGTGTTCTGCTAGAAACATGGTGTTGCCTTCGTCAAAGTCTGCATTTCTAAAACAAACATGTTCAATTTCTGCTCCAAATGTGGCTGAGAAATGCTTCTTTCATTTTCATATAATTTGGAAAACACAATAATTATTTCCTTTTTAAAATCCCAACTAAATATCATAAGCAGGTCAGTTGTTTAGTAGAATGCTCAGGTAACAATTCACAAACTCATAAGGCATCATGTGACATCATGGTGTAGCTATCAACCAGTGTTAATATCAGTTGAACTAGAACAATGGAGAAACCATTAATTCCACTGGACGGTGGACGTAATGGAAGCCAACCTATTAGGGAACTTGTTTTTAGTTTGTTTAGATTTCCACTTCCACTTCATGCTAGTGAACTTGTTAACTTGACTTAACAGATTAACAAGGAGCACCTTAGTGCACTATTATTGAAGGATGCAGCTGAATACAATGTCAGTGCATATTCACTTTGGTACAAAACAGTCACCTGCTAAAATGCAGTTGAAAGATTTTTTATTTTATTTTTTAATTCATATTTTCAAAGGGGTCAATAATGTTCAGTAGTGAGAAAATCATCGTTGTGAATTTTAAATTTAGGGTTTACAACTTAAAACACCTGAAAACGTTTACATGATAACTAAAACATATTACTTTGACACCACCTCAACAGTGTTTTATTTGGGTTTAAAATGGACACGTCTGATTGAATGATTAAAGTTTGCAGTTTGATCATGTCGTAGAACACAGCAAATACCTCAATGCTTCAGTTGTGTTGAATATTGCACATCCACAGGACACAGAAGACTTGCAACATGCATAGGTCAGACATCCTTTACATTTCTACACAAATATCCTCACTGGCCTGTAAAATATCATGTGTTACAATTTTCACACTGACTTTGGAAGTACTGTATTAAGTTTAGCATTAGTTTCAAGCCAGTATATGAGGATATATTTTCTTTTACATGTCATCATATTGCTGGCCAATAACACTTAATAAGGCCAAGATACTAAGGTGTCTCATTGACCATTTTAAAATGTTTTATTCTTGCAATAGAAGTGCAAGAATAAAATATAAAATCTGTTCAGCCTTGAACTTTAGAGGTACAAGGCGTCAACACCCTCAGCACAATGACATGTAGCTTAGATTTGATTCAGCTCTTTCACTGAAGTGTAGATGTGAAGGAGGAGTTTCTATCCTCAAAGGAAAAGTACATTTATAAGCTTTCATCTTTAATATATATAGTAAACCTACTCTGTTAAGGCAAGTGGTGGACCAATAACGTTATGGAAGATTTGCAAAAGAATGATGGCAGATATCTTAAAACAATATTGCAAAAATAAAAGGGAACATAGATTTCATCTAAACATATCACAGCCGAGAAGATGTTTTTTTCTCATCAGCTCCAAATCTCAACCAATTTATGACAAGGGAGGAGAGAAAGATGATCTTATGTCTACATGAAAACATCAGTTTTACTTCAAAACACTTGTTTGAGAAATTGAGGTGTGTTTTAAGTGCTTCTCATCAGTCTACTACAAGTACAGCATGTGGTCCATACAAGTAGGTTCAGTCTTCTCAGGTTTCACTGTGCCGTCTTACACAATCAATGGATGTGATTTATATTTGCTTTAAAAGTTGTATTCATTACTGTCATCACACAGTGCCTATTTTTGTTACAAAAAAACAATGAATAAGTGCACTTTTGAAACATCCCATTGATTAGAAACATACCTGCAATTAATGGAATTACTATATTTACCTGATAACAGGTTGGGTGAAACTTGCCACTACAAATCAAATAGCATTAACACTAGAATACATATCACTCACAAATTGTTATCAAGGGAAACTAACAGCGAATGGCGTTGCAGTTAAACAAAACAGAAGGGTCATCACACTGGTTAGATGCATTAGTCATTCCAAGAGCTTTATGTACATCATGGGATTTTATTTTATATTTTTTAACAAAGCGAGGTACTATATTGTATGCCCTTTCAAACAAGGCAAGCCACTGGTGAGTAAACTATTTATAGTGGATATACTGTATCGTGCTGGGTCGGTGAGTCATCTGCTCAGGATCATCAGGGCTTGTCCACTTCTAAACCAAATCTTTATTCAGGTCTCCAGTCTCTCTCTCTGGCTGATTCAGGATCCTGACACAATGATTTCTGCAGCTCAGACACATCTCTTCAGTGAGCTTGTAGCCAGCCATGACTGTTATACAACTTGGTGTTTGAACCAGAGGCAGACAGATGTAATCACTAAGGTTCACTAACGGGCCACCTGAGGGTTGTTACTGATGTTTTAGGATTTACTTTGTGTACATTATCAGTATCACCAAATGGTTACATTGTCAACCAAACAATTAAAAAGACAGGTTCACAAAAGTGTGTCTTAAAATATTAGTCAGGTGACCATAATAACACTGAAACCATTTCTTCTTGTTGTGATCATTACTTCTGTTCATAGTGGATATTAATGGGGGACCAGAGCCACAGTCTCCATTCTGTGCAAAAAAATCTGTTCAAAAGTTTATATGAAACTAATGTGAGGCTTCAGCAGTGGAGTCTGACAAATCAAGCGGATATTTTCCAAAGTCTTTTTAGTATAAAATTCCCTTCTCCTGTCACTGTCCCTCCACTGCAGCTCAACAGGGAAATAGTGTGGGAAAAACACCAATATATAATATAATAATAATATAATAAAATATAAATATAAAAAAAATATAATATAAAGCAATATAAATTAATCATTATTACCAAACATTTAAATATTCTCAGAATATTCTGATATGTATTTCCATTTTGTCTAATTTGTGATTTTACTTTACTTATGTGTTCTGCCGTTTCTGTTTTTGTCTTCTCTACCAGATATTTTTATACTTTAAAAAGTAAATGTCCTTTATTTTTATTTCTATTCTTCACTGTCCTTCTGTTAATTTCAAAGGACCTAAACGTGTTTCAGTATTAAATTCAGTCACTATTTTCACTACTGTCTCTTCTCTACAAGTCTATAAAATACTGGAACATCAAATCTTTTTCACCATTAAATTCCCATCCATCCTTATACAGTCACAACATACTACATCACTCAAATAAAATATGCTCTGTAAATGACCATTTAATCAAATTTATATTTTTAATAATAAATAATTCTGTGCTTTTGTGCCCTCTAGCAATTTAAGTAGCAAAATATAGTGTTACATCTCCATTGCGGATAGCAGCTTTCTCCCTTTACTTATCATTGTCAATGCAACAACTGAATAAGTAATGCCTGCTTTTAAATGAGTAAAAATTTTAAATTTTACAGTGAATAAAATATTTTCCTCACACATCCTCAATGTCATGTCAAAGAAATAAATACAGTGATTCACAGAAGAAATGACAGTGTAAACAAAGACAGAGCGGTGTTCAGGGGATGCACAGATGCAAAATCAGACATAGCATTGAACTTCATATGATTATTTGCTAGTTGATGCAATGTGAAGGGAGGGTGAGGGTGTTGGAGTTGGAATACCTATTTTCCTTCCTACGTTAGCAAAGCAAAGACATCTCCGATGTGTATGATGTATATACCACCTCCAGTTTCCTGCTTGAAATTTAACACAGTGCCGATATGGACACATACCCACATTTATTTAGTTTCCATTACATTTCTGTTCCTTTTTGTTCAAAGAAAAATACGCAAATATACAAACAGTTCATGTTTCAAGACCTAAAATTTCCTAACACTTTGCGGTTTACATTCAGCAACATTCATGTTGAGTGAAAAACGAAGCAATAACCAAACAAAAGAGAAAATAAAATAAAATAAAAAACATATTCAGAATAATTATTTATGAAGACTATTCATCGCCATACCGTTAACATATGTTACAACTTATTACTAGTTTCTAACAGTCCAGACTCCCTTCCAGAGTGATGAGTTATTATAGTTTCTCCTTTGAGGGGATCCAGATATAGGGTCCTGAATGTTCCTCTATGACCTGTTTGCAGTGGTTATAAATGTCCTCTAAGTTGTCTCCTTGAACCAGGGCTGCAAAGCAAAGGGAACTGTTTATGTACTGTGGAACTTCATATGGAACAGGTACATCAAATTTTGTCACAGCCACACATACATCTTTTCATTCATGAAGCCTCACTGTCAAATGTTTAAAGAGCCTATGTGTAGGAGGAGTAAGGTTTTTGACTCCTGCTGGTAGAGTAAAAAAACACCCTGTGGAGCAGTTTCACCCATGTTTTACACTAATTATCACCTGGATGGTCTCAAGTTTCTACAAACAAAAAAAATTAAATATGCTAATTATCACATAAGAAATTAACACACAGCGGCTTTAATATGAGCTTACCTCTGTCTACATAAAATGATCAGATGTTTCAGTTTAACTGATAAGTGTTTATAAAAGATGGACAACGACAGAGTTGGACTGAAGATGCCAAAAGGAAATGTTACATATCTTTGAATTGGACCATTTTAAAAGAAATATGTATAGGGTTAGGGTTGCATGGGAATTTTTTTTTTTTTTTATAATTTATAATTTAATCTCCGAATTCTGGCCCTCATCCTCCTCTGTAAGTATACATGATCATACCACTAATACAAAAAACAGAAATGAACATTTTTATATATGCTGGAATCTTAACAAAATATCTGGAATTATTGGAATCGGAATTATTTCAAGTTAAAATATTCACATGCATTAACAGTGAAAGTTAGTAAAAGTTAAAGATAGTCATAAACGATATGAAACAACTTTCACTCTGTTTCTGTTCTGTGGTAAGTTCTAATGAAGGGCTTTGTGTTTAATCAACAACCCAGCCGGCCTTGTGTTTGAGCAGGATCAGCTGGATATAGATGGCTTCTTTTGCGTTTGTTCTTTTATTAATATCATACCTGTGAAGAATTCACCAAACTCCTGCTCCAGTTTCATAGCCCTGTCAAATATTTTCTTGGCTTGTTCCTCTGTCAGTCTCTTATTCATGTCCCTGCACAGGAGACACGACACAAAATATTACAGAGCCAGACATGATTCTGGTGATCAGATGATCTCTGATTTCAACTTATGACAACTGTGAATTAAATTCCAGGTAACACTTTATGTTAAGTCCCCCTAGTTAGTAATAATAAGCAGTATATAAGCTTTTACAAATCATTAATAACACACTGTAATATAGTTAGAAGCAGAAGCAAGGACATTTTAAGTGTTTAACATACAGTATTTGTGAGAAACCATAACTTCTACCAAGACTTATTTTATTTATTGCAACTGCGCTTTACTATATTATCATTATCTGCCTATATCAGCCTCCACTTATGATGCTCACAGCATGAGTTACAGTTGTTGATAAAGCTAACTATCTAATTTAACATCTCTGTCTGTCTGTCGATTTTCTCGTCTGACTTTAAACTTTGCAGGTTTGTCACTAAGGTTTTTATGATGTTTTTTGGATGATCATGAGAAAATCAACAGACAGATTCCTTCATTTATTTCATGAGTGACATCATCAAATGCCATGCTCCAGCTCAATGGCTGTATATAAAGATGGATGACACGTCTCCATTTCCTACCACTGTATAAAAATGAAGCCAAAACATCCTGGATAAGAGCGCTGCCATTTTGTGCCGGTGACGTCATTAAGAACCAGAGTCTCTGCAGTAGTGGGTGCAGCCGTGGTATCGGGATCCCACCCATAAACCCACTCCACCCAATCACAGCTGTCAATCATGAGGTCAGATTCCTATTTTATGGCATCAAATAACTAATTATAGTCAAACTTACCAGAAAAATGAACAGAACAAACATCAGCGTGATAAGAACTATCTAAAATGTTTGGGGCAGATTCTGGCTTCTATCCTGCGGTACTGGCTGACTGCCTGAAGATTTTGCTGTATATGTATGTAAAAGTAAGTAAAAATGTATTTATATTGCACCTTTCACAGATAAAAATCACAAAGTGCTTTACATCATAAAACTTACACAAGTTCAAGAAATATGACTATAAAAGCAGTAAGGTAAATAAAGAGCAATGAAATAAATTAAATCTGGGCCAGATTCAGGCCGGGGAAGACAACAACATGTGGCCCAAATATGGGCCGGATTTATTTTGCTATTTAAGCGGGAACTGCACTAATTGATTAAAACATGTGTGTTCCACATCTGCTTACAACCATGTTACAGTGTGATATAAACAATATATTACATGTTTAGATACTGTCTTAGTCTTTCAATAAGAGCAAAATGTACAGTAACACGAGTAACCTAAGCTAGTGGACACAATAAATATTGTCAAAGGGGAACTTGTATATGGGTTGTAATAAAAGAAAAATGAATACTCACATTAATGAATCAATAGACTTAGGTTTTATGAAGATGGCGATGGGATAGAGTTGTGCTACTTGTAGTCGTTTGATAGCATTTCCAGACACATCCAGAATGCAGTGTTTACCCTGAGACAGAGGCATGAGTTTACCAGAGATGTACCACACAAAACCACAGTAACGCTGATTTCTCATTATACCAAATATATCATATCAAAGCTGCGATGTGTAAGATTTTTTCAACCTAAAAACAATCCTCATATGGTGTGATTAGATCATAAGCTAAACTCTGATCTAAACAGCAGCAAGTAAAAGCTCTGTTTACTTATTTCCTGTGGTATATAAATCACAGATAAACATGAGCTGCACAATGCACAGTCCTGACACTTTGGTGCAAGTAACATGCAGCTTTTATAAACAGATAGGGGCTCACCCTTTCAGCCACATATTTCACAGATTGGACACTTGTTCCATAAAGATTATCGTTGTACTGTCCCGCCTCAATGAACTTGTGCTCTTGGATGTCCTTCTCCATCTGCTCTCTTGACATCACAAAGTGGTAGTCTCGCCCATCCACCTCGTAGTCCCTCTTCGGCCGAGTGGTATCTTTGGTGCAAGGAGGAAAATACGCTTTTTATAACTTATTAACCAACTTGCCATAAACAGACACTTGCTACATTTTCTATTTAATTCTTACTAAAAATCTCACTCATGTCTATATAACTGCTTTAAATATTTCTATAAACAAATATTAATATTGTACATTACTTGTGATACCATTTTGTAATTAACACAAACAAATAAGATCATGGTGGAAATGACTGGGAGCCTCTTTGTCACACCACTGATAACACCAATGCCAATGTTTCTTAAAATTAACACCATATGTTCCAATAAAACTTGCTGCTTTCAACCAAAATAGGATGGTGCTACTATTACTTTTAGTTAGAGTGGTGCCCTGCTGTGCTGTAGGAAGTATCCTGCCAAACCTGAGCAAGTGGCAACCAGAGTTTAATCAGTTGTTTATAGCAAAAATTCAGATTCCTCTAAATAACTGTAGTATACATTTTTTTTTTTTTTTAAAGATATTCAGTCACATGTTTAAGTGCTTATTATGAAATTTGCACAGTGGGGAAACAGGACATTGAATATTGTCACAGGTTTTTTCAACACATGGATAAACACCACTGTCAAACTTTTTTTTAATCAATTAGATGATACAGGGAGGCCAAGTGAGATCCACTTTTGGCTACAAAAACAGATATATCCTTAAAGCTTTGATGAATAAAAAAAATCCTAATGATATATTCTTAACATAATCATGTTAATCAAACTTCCGGCTTCAAAACATTATGTCATCTTGGAGCAAATTTCACTGGATAACTTACAACAGAAGAAAGTGGCTGATAAATACTGGGGTGGGAAGTGAACTGTTATCAAATATATATATATAACACTAGTGTCACTAAAACTAACAGTCCCAAATTGATTCGATGCAAACTAGAACTCCAGAAGGAAAGGGTTATGTTAGGTTAGGTTTAGGATTAATCTAACCCAAAGGGTTATAAGTATTTATGGGGACAAATTACTTCAAGACTAATTTTCTAAATAAAAGGGTGAAATCAACTCATCTTATCCGCTCACTTACCTTGGTGCCCTGAACTGATAGCAGCTTTATATGGTTTAAAGGGTAATTGAAATAAAAGAGATGGGTAAATTAAAACATGCAAAATAAAAACTTCAATTCCTGATGGAGAACACATAAGACAATGCACAAAGGAGTGAGGTGGTTCTGTTAGAGTGGGTTAAAATGGGGTACATGTAGGTACTGGGGTTGCACACACACAAAAACACAAACCAGAAGAAAGCTGATAATGGTCCCTCCATTTATATCACTATGGCAGCTTTCTCTTACAAAACAATTGCAAAACATTTAGATCCACAGAGAGCCAAAGACAGTAATGATGCACAACTTTCTTGTCTGTTCATCCAATGTCATGATATTAGAGAAGGTTTTTAGAGCTAAATAAGTAGTATTCAAAAATGTCTTTTTCACAGTGGCGAGTGGAAAGCTGGTGTTAAAATGCAAATTAAAAATAATGATATGTGTGGGTTGTCCACTGACTTCACATCAGATATGAACATGACCACAACTGATTAAATAGCATGTCAGCACATTAATAAACACAGTCATGTCACAATTTCTACACATTGTTAGTTTTACATCATATCACAGTGTAACAACTATGTAACAGAATACCTACCTACAATTTCTGATCATTTTTGTTTCAGTGTCCATGAACAGTTCAAAAATAAAATTCCTGTTCTGCTTCCATTAACTACTTACGTGGCACACAAGACCCGAACTTGTCTGGGAACTCTGATATCAGATCATCGTTGATTCTGTCCTTCATTGGTCCGAGGATTATGATGGGCCTGGCGTAAGTAACTGGAAGGAAGATACAGTATTTGTTTAATTATATAACAGATACATATGGATAAACAAGATATGGATAATAATGGACCAAAGCCTGTATCTTTCCTGCTGAGCACTGGTTCTCTCCTGTCACATAGCTTCATAAATGATCAAAGCAAACTACTGTATTTATGTAAAAGTAAAAGCACTGTGAGTGACAGTATACTGTATTTAATACATCTTCCTACATACTGTATCTGATCAATCGTTCAAAGTTCAATTCTCAAATCCTTCCAAGAAGATTTCTAATGTGAGATTTGATCTTTTATATTCATTGATCTAAACCAAAGAGGTGTAGCTGCTGGAATCAATCAGGTTATTAAAAGACAGACAGTGCATTTGTCTGACAAAATGACACAGCTAATGTGGGTATATTGTAATTATATCATATCAAATAATATACAAATATAAATATAATAAATAATACAGTATATTTATTATATGGTAAGATTATTTATTTATGTTGATTCAGAAAACAGAACTCATTTATAGTCACACGTCCCGTACACCCATGACCCGTCTCTGACAACTGGTGCTCCACATTAACATTTACCACTCATTCAATCTATATGCAACAATGCTAAACTCTTCTTCCCTCTTGCTTCACTGGTGCCAGGTTTCAGACATGTAACTCCCTCCACCCCCAACACCCTCCCTCTGCAATTAGTTATTCAGAAAATGTGTTTGTGTTCATTAAATGATGTGCATCTTGTGCACAACCGGGTGGGGTTGTGATCTGTATCAAGTCCGTTCAAATTTGTTTACAGAGCATCACATGAGCAGAGCCACACGTCAAACAAAAATGCATATTGCTCCATTAAATGGTTAAAACCTTGACACCAGTGACGTCAATTTTCCTGTCTGGAAATAATAATCACAAGTCCATGACACAGTGCAAGCGAGCTTGTCCATTTTCCTCAGTTACAGTGATGTGTTTTAAATGTCCAAATGTACCATACATGTGAGAAGCTGAAGCTAATCAAAACACTGTGGGCAGGCTTTGATGACACATTCACTGAGAAATGACAACCTACTTTCTTGCCGCATCACAGGTTCATATGAGAGAATCACGTCCTCTTGACTCCCTGGTGGGGAACATAGTGAAAAACGTTACTATGTTATTTGGTAAAATGTTCATTTCTGACATAAACATGCCACACTGGGTTACAAAAGCTACATGCATGTAAAAGTTTAAAAATATGGCCCTGATACCATCAAAAAGCAGGTATGCAGCTTGGACTAAATAAATGAATCATGTGGTAAACTGCCAAAGCAGGTCATTTATTTATTTACCAGCTGCAACAGTCTGGTATTGTTTTCACTTTGTGTGTGTGTGTGTGTGTGTGTGTGTGTGTGTGTGTGTGTGTGCGTGTGCGTGTGTGTCTTTATGGCACCTACTGTGGCAGGAACTACCACAGATGTGGTTTGAGTAGTTTGGCAGGTGTTTATCTGTATGTCACCGCCATAGTAAGTTGTAAGATGCAGTCATAAGACTATATAGGTGTGTAGCTAAGATTGAAATGAAGGCCGTGAATGGGTTTGGTTTGACTCATGACTACTGAGTAAGGGTTGAAACAACATGTTGACAGCAGTCGTAGCTGGAGTCTCTAGTTGGAGTTTAGTATCATCCACTTCTACAGCTTCCCAGTTGAATTAATCCAGATAATTTGATACAATATGGTGTAAAACTAATTATGGTATTTAAAGACAAAATGACAAAAAACAAATCTACTGTTTAAAACAGTGATATTATTGTCACTTCACTCTAATAAATGAAAAAACTAGTTTTTGTTGGATAGTTGTGATGCTCTACCTCAGCTAATGATGTTATGTGCATTTAATATAGTTTCAGTGAGAAATGCTGATATAAAGTTATTTGAAAAATTTTTGCACTGACATGAATATCCAAAAACAACCCTGACTATGGTTATGGTTGATTTGTTGACTTAAATCAATATGAAGATAAAATTATTGGACAAATTTAAAATGCAGTTCATTTTTATCTATCCATCCATCCATTATCTATACCACTTATCCTTAAAGGGTCGTGGGGGGGGGGGGCAATCCCAGCTAACACTGGGTGAGGGCTGGGTATACCCTGGACAGGTCGCCAGTCTATCACACGGCTGACGTTTAGACACAAACAACCATATACCCTCACATTCACACCTATGGGTGTTTTAGATTTGGCAGTTAACCTAACCTGCATGTTTTTGGACTATGGGAGGAAACCCAAATACCCAGAGAGAACCCACGCAGGCAGAGGGAGAACGTGCAAACTCCACACAGAAAGGCCCCAGTAAATTGCAGGAAATAGCCCTTAAAATCAAATATTCATCTTCTTCTTAATGCTGTGTTACGTTTTATTTCATGAACCTGAAAAACAGAAAAAATAGTAAATCGTGGCCTGTGGAAAAGTTTGGACACCCTACTAAGTGTGGGCCAACGGTTCAGGATGGCGGTGGAAATATTCTGCTTTGTTGCTGTGTGGCTGCCAGTGGCACAGGAAAACACTGCACAGACAGATGGGAGAATGGATTCCATTAAATATCAATCAACAAATTCTGGAGGCAGATGTCCTGCAAAGGCTGGCTTCTACAACAGGGCAATGGTCCATTATGAACTACTTCAAGAAACACAAGTTGAAGCTTCTGGAGGGGTCATAGCAGCCCCCTGAACATCACTGAACATCTGTGGGCATGTTAAACCTGCTGTGTGAGCAGGACAGACCAAAACATCTCAGAACATGAAGTGATGCAGGAAGAGGCTGTTTCTAAGTACTGACTTAGTGCCACAATTACTAGTTAATTTTTTTTTCTATTTTTTGAGTCAATGAAATACAAAGTAACAGAGCATTAACATTCGAAGAATGTCTGTTTGCTGCAGGGTGCAGGGTTTACTTGTATTCATTTTCACTTGTATATTTGCCTGTATCCCAGATGACTGAAACGTTTACTCCAACAGTACAACAACACAATACAACATAACTTACAAACATAATTGTCATGTGCTCTAAAAATTGCTTCAACGTGACATGCTCACAGGTGAAGACATAAATATTTTAGGTGTTCATGTCAGTGTCATGCAAACATGCATTAAACACTATCAACATCTGAGAACAGGGGTCAGTAAAGGCTGGAATCATAAAAATGTACAGTCTGTTCAGTGAGCCAATATACGTTTGGGATGCTGAGTACACAAGAATCACTGTGGTGGCTATTTAACCAGGGTGGCCTGTAGTGGCTGTGCTGTGAACCATGGGACTGTCTGTCACTGCCATCGTTACACACCTCAGATCTCACTGACGTTAACAAGTAGACAAATTCATAAAGTAAGACGTTAATTATTGCCATAGACCACTGACAATAACAAAGCAGACTGATTCTGTGAGAAAATCTTTCCATGACGTTTATTTCTTATAAACCTATACTTATTGTGATCCAAACTTTGAGTTTAGTGAAAATGAGACAGAGGTCAACACTCTGCAAACTGAATGGCAAGACAAATCCAACAAATGTGGCATGCAATAACGCAAGCAAGAAGAACACATTCAGACAGGAAACAGAGATGAGGAATTATTGTTGGACCAACTTACTGAATGTCTTTGTCCCATACCCATCATCACCTATCCCCAGGATGTCCTATTGGCCATCCGAAGAGTGCCAGAATAAAAAAAGACAGGAAGGAGGACAGCCGCAACATAAGTAAAAGGTTGTAGGCAGTGAAAGTAGGGAGCCATGGGCCCACAGATCTGCCTCTGTCCAGACACTGAGCAGCCAGCAGGGGGAGCCAAATAAACCATGATACAACTATGGCTCCTTGAGATTGAACCTAAATGATCCCTGAAGGAAAACTGGGTCGAACAATATCACCATATGGGGACATATCACACAAAACTGAAGAGCATTGACTTGGCTTCTGTCCTGCTGACTGATCAGCATCCGAGCCACAGTCTCTCTGACTGCGATCCAACAGAAAGAGAAAGAAAACAAAGACAACAGGACATGATCATGAGAGGAAGCAGGAAAGGCCTCCACAATGACACTACCCTCAAAAATACAATCCCCTGTTGTGGCCTTTTAGACCCACATGTGACCTACACTGACTCTCTGCGTGTACATACATGTGTGTCCGTGAGCTTACTTACTGTCCGAATCACTGCCATCCTGCTCACCCTCTTTGTTCTTGTAGAATGGGAACTTTCGTGTAAAGATGAAATTCTTTTTACGTTTGTCATTGAATGACTGTGAAGGGAGAGAAAGCATGGGGCAAACAGGTATATCTGTAACGTTCATGCAGACAAAACAACTGTGTGCAGAAAGTGGAACGTCAAGAAGCTCTCACAGTGAAAACAGAACATCTGTTTCTCCCAGATTCCCAGGTCATTTATTAAGTAAAAAAACAAAAAACATGCTGGTTCCATCTACTGTATTATATGATTGTGTTGGACTGGGATATACTACCTTTACTGTTTTCCGATGTTATAGACTATACAATTAACTGAAAATATAAAAGACAAAAATAACTTAGTTGCATTCCTAAATAATCTGCAGTAAAATATCTGAATAGATCTTGCAATGTCACTCAGTAAAATAGAGACTATGCCTATTCATCAACACAGCAGTGTAAAAGCTAAATATCTATAGTAGTTCTATGTCCTATAATTAGTAGGTATTGTTTGAATTGGTGAAACTTTGTCATGAACTGATATAAAAAGGCTTGTGAAATCTACATGAATGGGAAAGTGGGCACAGACTTTTGGACTCCACTGTACATAGAGCACCATCATCTACAAATGGACTGTATAAGCTCTATTTTCGTGCTGGGGCACGGCGCGAAAGGCAGTGTTGCACCAACAACCTGGTCTTTTCCTCGGACGCACTGAGGTTATGTACTCCGCTGGTTTGGTATCCCAGTGACTCGCCATGTTCCCCAGCGTGAGAAGAGGCATCACTGATGGCATGGCAATAACAGTCCTGCAACTGCAGTGATGCTTGGTCCACAGCCCGTCTGCTCAGAGCAGATTGACAGCTCAGCATACTTGTGTTCCATAATTTGGTCACTTTATTTGGTGAAATCACATCTGTATAAACCACACTTAAATCACACAAATGCCCTCATGCATGTTTTGTTCATCTTTCTGCTTTAATTGTACATTTTTTGAACAGCTGTCATGTGATCATGTCAATGATCAAGTCATTCTGTTTGCTGTAAAACAAAGATGAATGAGCGACTCTTATCAGCTCTATAATGCATGATTGTTAGTAGGTAGACTATACTGAAAGCCTTTTCTTTACTGTGGTGACTCTTTTTACAGCCGTCTGTAGGCAGCAGGTAGCTGTTTCATCTTCAGTCTCTAACAGTAGCGATGTTGCTGTCACACTGTCAAGACATAATTACGTAGGCACCAGACCATTTCAAAACAACCACAGAAATCTACATGCTCATGCGCACTTGTCGTTTTGATTAATTATTCTACATTTTTTACTACCAATCATCAGGCGTGTTGAAAACTGGAAACAGTTCACGCAGTTCCATGAAACATCGTAGATTAGTTAAAGCTTTTCACTCCGCTGATACCTCCCTTGGGACCGTCCTATGCCAGTCCTCAGAGTCTCCATCCAATACACCAGATAACCATATGGTGCAAGGTAAGGAACAAAATTAAGCAAGTCCCTACAGAGAAGTCTGCAGAAGCAAGCTATTACTTTTTATTTTGGTAAAAATAAATACATAAATAAAACTGACGAATTCAAATCAAGTTCAATGTGCAAGAATCTAGATCAGTCTTATTTGTCTACATTTGGTGGCAGTACCACATCACATTTGGCTCCAATCTGCCAATAAAATACAAAAAGAAGGTGGCCAGCCAAATCAGTAGCTAATCTATCTAGCCTCAGCATTCTAATGACCAGCATCAGAATGCTAATAGCCAGCCAAGCCAATAACTGATACAGTGGGTTGCTAGGTTAGATGCCGGAGTTACCATCTTGGTCGAATGAATAGTCTCCGGCACTCTAAGCAGGGACTGCAATCTGCGCCGCGCTCCCATTTCATGAAAATAGAGAAATGTTAAACAGGTGGATGGAATAATTCTGCAGGTCCTAATACTTCTTGACATACCACAGTTGCATCAGAGGCATTTAAAGTAAAAGCAAGGTGAGAGAAGAGTTACTGATGTCATGCTTTGAGAGACGCAACATAATTGAGGTTTAGTCATAGTAAAGATAAGCACACAAAAAACACATGCAATGATAGAAAGAAAAGATGGAACTCCAGAGGATGAGACTTCAAATAATGAATATGCTGGCTAGGTCATCATTTGAAGAAGAAATTAAGCTGCTGATGTGTAATATTTGTACAATTTTGAGGGTTTGTGGAGAGTCAGGCTAGAGTGGATGAACAGCCCAAAGTTCAGTCACCATTTTTTCCTGAAGTTCATTAAAAATCAGATTTATACAGTAGATGTGATGGAAAGTATACAGTTCTCACCTGCTTTCTATTGCACATTTTAATGCAGCTGAAGAAATTAAATATCTGTGTGAAATATCTGTGAAACATGGTTGTAAACTTAAAAGATTTACTTTAGTTTGATCATTGAAGTTTAATATCAGTGACAGAATTCAGCCAAATCCAACCCGTTTTTATAATTTATAAAAGCCTATTAAAGGCTCTGAATAAAAAAATAACAGTAGAATTATCAGTACATGGGTTTTAGAAATTTGGGGCTGTAATGTTGTGACATGTTTGATGAATGTGTTGATGAAGAAATATACACATGATGAAACTGTCTGATGTGTTCTGCTGAATCAATGAAATCTATCTCACTTTTAAGAGTTAAGTGAATAACAATTCACAAAAAGCTGTTCATGTGAGGATAGAAACTGCGACTCTCTCATAAAGGCACTTACCCTTTTTGAATCAAACGACCCGGGCTTGGCATTGAATTTAACCGTCTTTAGACGTGCCCGCTCTTTCCTCTCCACGCTGCCAAGCAAAGAGCCACATCAGTCATTAACCACAGTGATGGAATGAAATCAGTCACTCTGGTAAAACTGGGGTGATGACGAGTCTTAAACACTTCTATTCTTCTACATTTCTACTCTTCTCATTCATTATGATAACCACTGAGTATATTGAGAAATATCAAGTTGTCTAATATGTGATTGCATGTATGTAATGGTTTCACCTTTGCAGAGAGTTACATTGACATTAGACAACTTATTGATCTGGGTTCACTGTGTGAAAGACCTGACATGACATTGTAATGTACCAGCCCATATTTAGTAAAGAACTTTTACTTTTAACCCCACACTTGAGTTTCTGGAATTAGTTTTCTGATGCCACATTGAACCCATGGGTAGGCTTCTTAATTTTTTTTCCCTCCATGAATACTACTGAGTGTGGGGACACTACAGGCGCTCTTGTTGTTACTCTTTCTCTTCATAAACTGTGGATTATGTAGAGGAATATCAAAAAGCTGTTTGTCTGTGTTTAAACACCTCCCTTTCTTTTCAGTCACAAATCATCAACAGGCTTCTACAATTTCCTCGAACAGAGACACATTTCTATCTATTGCTCACCGTCTCTTGCTGGGGATGACACCCATTTCCTCACTGTCCCCATGCGGAGTGACACGGCGGGCCTGCCACCACTCATCATCCGAGGCATTGATGACGTGGAGGATGTCCCCGTACCTGAAGCTGAGCCCCTGGCTGGGGAGGCCGCTGTCCTTTGACCTCTCATAGTCAAACAGTGCCCTATTCAGCAGAAGATATCAGGATCATCAGGATGAGTACGGTGATGTTTTACTGTCATTCCTCCACGTGAGGTCCGGTCTAAAAGCGGAAACTACAAGCATAGCTTTACCAGGTCAGAGAGAATAGTGACATCCGGTCCATCGGGGTTGCTATAGTAAGAAATGTTCTTTTGTTTGAGTTTCAAACCAGGTTTTAACATGTATGTGCGTGTTAAATCTTAACATTCATTCAGCAACACTCGGTTACATAAAAAAAAGCATTATGAGTTGTTGCTCAAAGTAGAGGATGATATTCACATAATTCTACCATGGAGCCTGAAGTAAATCAGTGCAGACATCACATGGAAGAAATCTGAGGGGTGGCTTTTTTTTCTGAATTCTTAAAACAGACCAACCTCACATAGAGCGACCTCTTCTGATTGGTTCGCAGGGATCCCGACCCAGAGCTCATGCTGTGGTTCATCATCTGTTCCCGCAGGTCATGGATTTTGGCCTCAAAACGCCCATATTCTGCAAGAGAAGATTAGAATGGATGAAGAGTGACAGTCAGTTTTGCATTCAGATTCCACTGGGGGGGGGGGACTGAACCGTTGTCCCTTACTCTCACTGCAGAGATGATGGCAAAGAAAGGCTGTGTGCTCAAGGAAAATCTGGACTCAGAACATGCTATTATATACAATTTTATATAAATTTTACAATACATTTTCATTGTGAGCTTAACAAGTGCATGGACACATACAGTAGATTGAAGAGATAAAAGGATGACGTTGAATGTGGATGAGTCTTTGCTATATATATATATATACAGTATATATATATATATATTTATGCTATTTATATATGTTATACCTTATAAAATACTTGCCTCTAAGTTGGTGACATGTAATTTGTCACCGATACAGCAGCTGTTAAACTAAAACATATCCAGTATATATTTCTGTTTCATGCTGTCTGAAGGGGGGCACTGATGTCAGCATACTTGCCACTGTCTAAATCTCTACATGTCCTCCAATCATCCAGTCGTACATGACAAACTGTTTTAATCATTTTTAGCCTTGCACGTGGCTGCGAGCCAACCTTGACTGTGACATAAATTGATATTCACACAGGTATTATATCATCACCTGAACACATTAAAGAAATTGTGTAAAGAGAACAGATATTAGACATCCTCATATTTCTGAGGCTGTTCTCTGTGCTGTTGCATTTACAAGATTTTCTACCCCAATACTGAGAATACACTGACCCACAATTTATTTATTTATTTTGTTAACATCCATGCACCAAGTGTGACCCACCATGATCTCCAGTCAGTGATGTATGAAGCTGGGAACTGAATCGCTCTCAGCAAAGTAAAAGAGGATGTCAGGATGTGAAAATCCATCACTTTGTTGACAAGCCTGTTTCCCCTGACAGTGCAGTTACTATGAGGGTGGAAAAGCTGATAATTTGAGGAATAGTTGGCTAATCTGTCACTTAAATAAGATCAAAGTGAAGAGATGTGACATGCTCTGCCATGACAAAACCAGCCACAGACTGCACAACCTGACTTTTAGAAACCAGGATGAGAAAAGAGAAGAATACTGTGAATAAAGCTAAAGAAACCAAGTCTGCTGTGATATCACTTTGTTTTCCAGTTATAATTGTCTACAACACACTTGCATGAAACTCTTCCATGCCTTCTGACACAGATTTGTTTCTTCATCATTAGGCTACCAAAGAAATAATGAGCCAGGAAATTGTCTATCATACCGGATAATCACCTACAACAAAATACAAAATCACAGTCTACTTCAGAAACCAAAGGTCTCCATTATTTAATCTAACCATATCATCCTCTAGTTTTGTTCAACCAGTCTTACTCAATGCATCTCACATACCTCTCTGCATGTTTACTTTGATGTTATGTCTTCTTTGGCTGTTGTCTCTTCCTTATATTCTGTTCCCCTCGGGTTCCTTCTCTCTGTTCTTGACACACAGTCCAATTCTGTGCCAAGCAGAGCACTAAGCAGAGAGAGGGAAACACCTCTCTCTCTTCTGTGGCTGCTTATGAGCAGCTCAGGGGCGGAGACAAGTGTAAACGTACACACCAAACCAGATGAGTGTTTTTAACCAGTGTCTGTTTGCTTTAAACAACCTCTCCTCCTTTGACATATGTCTGATCATGCATAAACACTTATATCATAAATATGGAGCCAATTCTGAGCTGTTAGGGAGGAAGTTCTAAGCATTCCTGTCACAGCCTGCTCTGCTTCTTACCTGCTGCTTCAGTGTTTTCCCACTCACCCCGCCTCTGTCTCACTCTCCACTCTGCCACAACTCCTCATCAGCCTCACCGTCCCAACCTGTTGCTCCCAGCTGCACTCCATCTCCAATCCAGTATTTAAGCAGCCTTGGTCCACTCACTCATTACCAGATTGCTCTCTGTACTCATGCAAGACTTTCCAGTGTTCATCTCCGGACTGACTTCCTGGTATCCACTCCGCTTGTCCCTCACCATCCTGCCTCGTTTCTGCCCCGGTAAATGCCTTAGCCTTCTGTCCCTGACCACGAGTTCTGCCTGTGCACTTCCTGATTCCCGTCTGCTTGTCCCTGTGGCGGTTTGGCATTCTCCAGCTCAAACGTCGCAGCATTCGTCTTGTGAGTACTTCCCTGCTGGTTTTCTGATCCTACATCCGACTTGATTGCAGAAGCTAGACAGGTGGCGCAGGTTAATGGGCAGGTGCTAGCTGCATTAGTAGGGCAAATGCAGCAGCTAAAGACCCTCCTCCCTCAGCCCGCTGCCCCCACGCCCTCAACAGCTCTAACTGCACAGGAACCAGCTTCAGCTTCCCCGTCGCCCAGAGATGCCCCCAAACCTCGGGTGGGAACCCTGAAGCGCGATAATGGAGAAACAGAGACTTGTGGCCCCTTCCTAACAAACTGTTCCTTGCTATTCTCCCTTCAGCCCGGCACCTTCACCACCGAGGAGGCAAGGGTGGCCTTCACCATCAATCACCAGATGGGCAGGGCTCGCCTGTGGGGCACTGCTGAGTGGGAGAGACAATCTCCAGCTGCGTTTCTTTCCAGTCATTCGCCGGGGAGCTGCACAAGGTTTTTGGCCTGGGGGCCTCAGCTCAAAGACTGCACGGGGGCCAATGGGCATGCGGCAGGCAGACGGGACAGTGCCCGAATTCTCCATAGACCTCTGCACCAAGGCCAGCAACTGGAATTCTGCTACCCTTTGTGACGCCTTCCTCCACTGCCTGGCTGACTACATTAAGGATGAGCTGGTCCCCCACAACATTTCTTCCATGTTGGACGGGGTGATCGAGCTGGCCATCTAGATTGATCTCCGCATCCAGGCCTGCAGACGAAAGAACCATCAGGGGGTCCCTCATTGCCCGCCACATGTCTGTTCCCGAGCGGGCTCCACCAGTCCCTCCTCTCCCAGCTCCAGTGCCCCGCCTGACATCTCCAGGGTGCTCCTGGAGTACTACAACTTCTGCCAGGCTTTCAGCGAAGCCAATGCCACATCTCTGCCTCCCCATCGGCCCTATGACTGTGCCATTGATCTCCTGCCCGGCATGTCACCTCCCAAGGGCTGCCTGTACTCCCTGTCTGCCCCTGAAAGGAAGGCCATTGAAACTTAAATTAATGACTCCCTGGCTGCAGGCATCATCCGCCCCTCTTCACCTCCCGCCGGGGCGGGCTTCTTCTTTGTCGAAAAAAAGATAAGACTCTGAGACCCTGCATCGACTACCGGGTCTGAACGACATTACCTTCAAGAACCGGTACCCTCTGCATCTCATCTCGTCATCCTTTGAACTGCTTCAGGGATCCACAATCTTCACCAAGCTTGACCTTTGAAACGTCTACCACCTTGTCTGAATCAGAGAGGGGGAGGAGTGGAAGATGGCATTCAACACCCCCACAGGGCATTACAAATATCTTCGGTCTCACCAACGCCCCTGCCTTCTTTCAAGCCCTGGTGCTAAGGAAGGTCTCCGCTGAGACCTCCTGGCCTATTCCTGACTCCTGCAAACAACTGCAGCGCTTCCTGGGGTTCGCCAACTTCTACGGCCGCTTTATCCGAGACTACAGCTCTGTGGGCACCCCTCTCACCACCCTCACCTCCTCCGAAGTTCACTTCCAGTGGACATCTGCTGCTGACAAGGCCTTCAAGACCCTGGAAGTCCAGGTTCACCTTGGCGCCCATCCTCCAGATGCCTGATCCCGAGCGCCAGTTTGTGGTGGAGGTGGACGCCTCCTATATAGAGGTGGGAGCCTTTCTGTCACAAAGATCTGCCACCGACCAGAAGCTCTAGCCCTGTGCCTTCTTCTCTCTGCACCTGTCACCGGCTGAGAGAAACTACGACATCGGGAATAGATCATTTTTGGCGGTGAAGATGGCTCCTGGTTTGGACTGATCATAAGAACTTACGTCCAAACAGCCAAGAGACTGAACTCCCGCCTGGCCCGCTGGTCCCTCTTCTTCACCCGGTTCCACTTCACCCTCTCCTACTGTCTGGGGTCCCACAACGTCAAGCCTGACGCCCTGTCCCGGCAGTTCCAGAAGACTGTTCAGCCTGGTCTCGTTGCCTGTCCACCAAACAGTCTATATGTCCTGCAAGCCCTGAGGTCGTAGGTGCTGCAATGGGCCCACACCTCAAAACTCTCCTGCCATCCTGGTTCCCAGCAAACTCAAGACATCCTCCTCCAAGGCTTATGGTGGCCCACTCTAGGGGAGGACATTCGCGACTTTGTCAAGGCCTGCTCTCTCTGCAACCAGTATAAAGCCTCCCATCAGGCCGCAGCTGGACTCCTTAAGCCTCTTCCAGTCCCACATTGTCCATAGTCACACATCTCCTTGGACTTCGTCACGGGCCTTCCTCCTTCCAATGGCAACATGGTCATCCTCACAGTTGTCGACCGCTTCAGTAAGGTGGCCCACTTCGTGGCCCTGCTCAAGCTGTTGTCAGCCAAAGAGACTGTCCAGCTGGTCCTGTCCCACGTCTTCCGTCTGCCTGGTCTCTCTGTCGATGTGGTGTCTGACTGGGGGCCCCAGTTCTCCTCAGTCTTTTGGAGGGAGTTCTGCAGCCTGATGGGAGCCACCGCTAGTCCTTCTCCGGGTTCCATCCCCAGTCCACCGGGCAGGTGGAGCGGAAGAACCAGGAGATGGAGATGGTCCTTCGTTGCATGGTCTCCCAGAATCCGTCCCCCCTGGTCACAGCAGCTCCTATGGGTGGAGTACGGCCACAACTCCCTCACCAGATCTTGCCCTTTCAATGTTTCTATGGCTACCAGCCCCCGCTCTTCCTGGCCTTGGAGAAGGATGCTTCCTGCCCGTCCCTCTAAGCCTTCATCCACCGCTGTCGTCGAACCTGGGTCCGGGCACACACTGCCCTCCAGCGCTCTATGAGTCGCTACACTTCTTCGGCCAACTGGCGACGTGACATGGATCTCCCTGCAGAGGGGCCATGTGACGATGAGGGTTCCCTCCACCCTGACCCAATCAGCTGAGCAGATGGACTGGTCTGACTCCGGGGAGTTGGCGTTTTCCAACTCCGACATCACAGCATTCATCTTGTGAGTACTTCCCTGCTGGTTTCCTGATCCTTCGTCTATCTCCGATAACCCACCTGCCTGCATTGATGACTGCTCACCTGGTTCTGATCCTCCTGCTCCCTCAACGAGGTCTCCAGCCTGCTCCCTAAGGGTACTGCTGCTTTCCTGTGATCTTTCCCCAGTGTGTGTGTGAGTTTAGTCACTTTGCTCCACGCACCTGCTATCTACTAATGGAGACTAATTTCATATAATGAGACATAAAATATCTGCTTTAAATATTTTGATAATTGTCACATGTACAGAACATAAAAACATTTCATCACTCTGTTGGACTTGTTTAGCAATAGTGACCACTGTACACCATCTTATATACGACTTACCAAAGATGAAGTTCTTATTGTTGTACATTGTGACAAATCAATAAAGAAACATAACTTGATCCATCTCAAGCTTCTGGACTTTACAGATGGCATAAAAGCATTGCAGCATTGAGGCACCCACAAGTCTGTGCCTGTGCTTTCCTGAGTTTCTTAAGGCAGAAGTCTCATGAAGTCCTAGGTGTAGACTACTTTTTAAATCAACTTTCAGTGGCCATCGCTTATTTTATGCTTTAGAAAAGAAGACATAGTGCAGAGTTCACATTTACACCTGGTGGTGTCCAACCACGCATAGTAGTTTTGGTTTAATCTGTTGAGGTTATGAGATATTCACTGCTGACACGACAATACAGTGGAGGCGAATGGAATTTCATGTTTTGGGTTCATATCAATGAAGTTCAGAGACTGTGTCCTGGTTCCTCTGGTCAATCTAAAGACATCACTGCACACTTTTTTTTTTTTTTACTATTATCTAACTTTGTTGGAAAAGAGCTGCAAATAAAAGCTGTTGACGACTGAACTGAACATTAAACAAAGGCATGTAATGAATAAAAATAAATGTGCTATAAAGTCATTAGACTGCAACACAAGTAACTGTCATCAGGTACTGGAAATAACCTCCTTGAAACACAGCATATGTAAATAACGCACAACATTAAATACATTTTCAAAGTGGAAAAAGAGAGGACAGAGTTTGAAAGGAGCACAGGGACAAAAGGTAAAGGATTTAAAAGGGTGCATGTGCAGTGGAGGAGTGAGAGTCAAACAGGTTAGGGGAGGTAAGGATCAGGTGTGCTTCGGACAGAATGTCTGTCATCACATTCACTCAGTGACTCTCACTTAGTCGCTGGTGAATGATGCTAAAGCTCAAAGCAGCCACAGGTGCCAACGGCACAAACCTGGTGCAGGAGAGTGGGCCCGTCGTGGTGAGCATAGAGCAAGTTCTGATGGGTAAGAAGAGAAAGCAGTTGTTAGTCCAAGAGGAGTCCAGAGCCCAGTTAGTCATGTGTAAGATGTCACCTCAGATGGGAACAATAAGCTGAAGAAGTGAGATGGGAGCATTCGATGAAACAGATTCCTGAGTCATCACTAAATCAAAGACAATTTTGGTTACAGAGGGCTTCAAACTGGACTTGGTGCCAACAGTTCTGGCTCAGGTCTGACTGATGTTCTAAGCAAAAATCAAGAAATCTTGACTCAACAGATAAAGCTTTTGAGGCTTGGATGTTATGTTTTAGATCTGAGAGGAAATTACCTCGATGTAGATACAAACAAACACCATCGCTCTCAGTATAAGGATTTGGACAGTTTGTGAGTTTGGTACCTCTTGAGACACTGCTGCCAATGAGTCAGTGCCTCTGCAGCCCTTCAGCAGATAGTGCTGTAGTTGACCTTAATCAGAGGAGGCATGTCACCAGTCAAAGCCGTCTGTATGTGTTAACTCACAGAAGGTTGGCAGACAGTCTCTGGTGGATTTGAATTAGCATGACAATGCCCTGGATGGGTTATTACAATTTACATGCTAATGCGCCAGGACAAAGAAACCACAGACAAACAGAAGATTGTTTGTTGAATCAGATGTTGTTACCACCATTTTTAAACCCTTTACAGAAACTTTGTGTTAATCAGAAAACTTGTAGAATAGAAAAGACTAAATTTAATGTCTGACAACTGCACCATTTAAGTAGGAGAATATTTGTTAGTTGTCATTAACCTGTGCTGTGTGCTGTGAATAAAAAATCAGCACCACTGATATCTCAATAAAAACTGCTTATCATTACCACCCATCCAGCAAACTGGGGGAATGCATAGAGGTCAGCTGTGCAAACATGTCTGTTTTTAGAAATCTTATCATGATGCTGTTGCAGCTGATGGACACTTTGACTTATTCTGAAGGTGAAATCAAAAGGAAATGACACTTCAATCAAATCTCATCCATTAAGAGAACCATTTAGTCCATTCAGTGCTAGAATCCTTCATCTGAGGTGTGATGACGGGAAGAAAGAAACCTTGGGATTTGGAAATGTCACACCAAACAGAAATAAGAAGTGACCTCGCATTTGACAAGGTGGCATCTGTCATGATGACCAGTGAATACCTTTCTAACTATTGAGTTGAACCCCATGCAGAATGTTTCTCATACTACATAAACCCCATCTCCACTGCTCTGGTGAAGACTGGTGAAGCTGTTACACCATGGAGGACAGGCTGCCTGAGAGAAAGACCATTAAAGCTCTCAAAACACTGTCTCTCATTTATGTGCTTGACATTTAAATGAATGAAAAGATTTTAAACAAAAATCCATAGTGTGTGAGGGGCAGGACACTGAGGGTACAGTCTGTAGGGATCACATTATTTTCATAGACTCTGGTTTTGTTTATCTTTTGTCCGAGATAGTGTGTATGGTCTGTTTCCAACAATTACAGTGTGGTCAGGTTTTGTCATTTTGTTCTCTGTGAAAACCGCATTTTTTACTTTTCTTCTTCTGACAGTCGTCACGATGTGTGGGAGGAGAATTCTGTGGGACACTTACATTGTGACACTTCAACAGAACTTAAACACTTGAAAGAGCTTAGCAGTGATGTGTAAATAAGGTTGGCAATAAAACATAAGATGAGCCGTCACTTGGCCTGATTAGAACAAAATCACATTTTGGCAGGGGAGGGGGAGGGGAGATCTGTGAATATTTGTGCTATTTAGCAGGACATTTAAACCACAGGCTTCCTGTGTTTGTACAGTAACTCGCCTCACCTTCTGGTCTGTACTGGGCAATGATGGTGACCACCTGTCCCGCTCCTTTCAGTGCTGCTGCTGCTTGTTCATGTGTGGCTCCTCGTAAGTCAATGCCATTTACCTGTTTAAACAATGTAGAAAATTCACAGGATTATTTTTCATGATATTTCTGTTTTATTTGACACAGAACAATGACCTGCAGCACATGTGAGCCATGCTTTATCCCACACCAGTGGAACTACATGGCATCCAACTATAAATAGAAGAAGAAGGATTTTCTCCATAACCGCTAATTCAATCAACTTCAGACTTGGCAGGTGTGTTACTGAGGAAACCACATGGAGGTTTTCAGGAGATTCTTGTGGTGCTGACCATGTGATAATTTTGCTGATATTATGTACCATTTTGTATTCAATGACAGGAGTTTCACTGACCCCTGTCTCCCATAGATTTGTATGAGCGCTGTGTCTTCAACAGCCAGACTCTCTCTCTTACACACACACACACACACACAAAAGTGTAAACATGGTAAGAGGGAATTAGTCTCTCTGCTGAACAAAACCTTATGCAATTCATACTGCCAAACCTACATGCAGTGACTGAGGTCAGAGTTAGGATAATTCTCTACAACAAGAATGAAACTCAAAGTAACATCTTCTGTAGAGATTGAACCATGTGTGATGGATGCATCAAGCAGCAGGCACATTCAAAATTTCCTCAGGAATTTTCTGGTTTGTTTTACATTCTATTTTATATCTATTTGACCATTTCAGCGCAATGAATGGTTATGATAAAAATTTACCTGCAAACATTTTTGGATTGGTTTGATGAGATATGATGAGAGGTGTGATACATCTGAACACAAATGCGTCTGTGATGCATACATTAAAGATTTTATTTGTGAATTTAATTCTCGTGTTAAAGGATAATTTTCTCTGCTTCTTTCATTAAAAATATAGCAAGTGTTCCATTTCTTCACATTATCACAAGAGCTGCTGCTAAAACTTCCACACATAAACTCACATGACAATAGTCATCTCAGAGGAAATCCAAAAATGTATCTGTTTTTTAAAAATCTTTTTTTTTCTCAACAGTTGCTGTGCTGTTCTTCAGAGTCAGGACAGCTGAACAATTACAACAGACCAAGGAGCTCTAAGTGTAAGTGCAAAAAGAGCCACACTGGATAAGAAGATAGTGTGTAAAGATTGAAGAGTGTGTGCTCAGATGGTGGGGAGAGACAGGGGAAGTTATTGTTAGACTTCAAAACCAGGCCATTGTTGGACTGTTAACTGCCTGCTCTCATCAAGGTAGACCGAGCTGCTGATTGGACGCAAATTAACAGCCAGATAGTGTCATGTTGATTCGATTTTCTGTAGGCCACACAATCACATAACTACAATGAAATGAGACAGTGTAATCTGTTGCACAGTGTGACATGAGTGTGAGAGGCAAACAATTACAATTAGCTATAATGAGGCAGAACAATCACTTCTCCCTAGCTACTGCCCACTGTGCAGTATGTACATTATCTCAGTCAGTCATCTCAGTCAGTCATCATACATACATGGATTTTTGTTAGTTTTTATAGGCACTCGTAAACACTGTGACCAAATAATGCAGGGTGTGTCTTTCAAACAGTGACTGTAAAGCCACTCCTCTACCTGTAGTAGACACTGACAAAATCAACTGGCTGAAAATTTATCTGAATCTGTGTTGAAGTAATTACATGTCAGGAGGGATGTCAATGTTTTTTTTTTTTTTTTTTTTCCAATGTACAATGGTAAATGCTGACTGTTTCATATTTGTCACTCAGGAGGAGGACTCTCTTCTGTATACAATGACATCTCACCCATACACTTTACGGAATGGATGACCATCAGTCTGAATCTAACTATAAATGGAGGAATCTCTGTTTCTGTTTTTTGTATGAACGGTTCTCTGCTTTTCTACATGTTACATGTTACACAGATGAACACCATGGTTAATGATTTCACATAAACTATGATGTCATCAGTAATATCACATGATGTTGTTTTGTGAATTGGTAAAGAGAGGCCATTACCCCCATCAGGCAGCCAACAGCAGTTGTAACAAACTGACCACACACACTGAAAGCTGGATTAATGCAGGCCGATCAATCAGCCCCAACTGTCAAGCATATGTTGAATGGCACCTGCACTAGTCTTTATGAAGAACTGAATTTGAAGGCTGAAACTAAATAGCATTATCAATTAATTTATCAATTATATAAATAATGACAAATGCTTATCACTTTTTTTCAGAGCCCAAAGTAACTTGCTCAAATTTTTTGTAGTTCTGTCCAACCAACAGTCCAAAACCCAAAGATATTTAATTCATAATAACAATATATAGCTAGAATATTCCTGGATAAATTTTGAATGTGCCTGCTGCTTGGTGCGTGTATTTCACTACTCACGTTTCAATCCGTACAAAGGATGTTATTTTCAGTTTCATTCATGTTCGAGAGACTTCCTGACATTGACCTCAGTCACTGCAGTTGTCCCTCAAAAAGCCATTTGAAGCTGTCACAACTGGCCAAAATAACCTCACACTGATGGTGTGTATACATGTCTCGCTAACAGAAGTTGATCTACAATAAAGCTATCCACTATATACCCATGTAGACGATAGCTTCTAAGGTCGAGCTTTTATTACCTATCTTACCTCTTACCTTTTTGAGACTCTTATTTTGAAAGTGCATCCATGTCGTGGTATGGTGTGTGTCTGTAATGTCTGTGTTTGGCAGTATGAATTGCATAAGGTTTTGTTCAGCAGAGCCAATAATTCCCTCTTGCCATGCTGACACTTTTATGTATATATATGTGTGTGTGTGTGTGTGTGTGTGTGTGTGTGTGTGTGTGTGTGTGTGTGTGTGTGTGTGTGCAGGGGTTAAATTGGGCCAGAGCCCTCCGGAGCTGAGCTCCACCTCCTCATGCACAAATCGGACCCAGCTGGAGTTGAGCTCCTTCTCCCTCAAAATCATATCATCATATCACATTTACTTGTATTTTTAAATCCTCCAGTACCCCTAATAGCATATGGGTCTTGATGAGTAATTCTGTAAACTACAAATAGAGATGTTTGAGGTGATTGCTACACCTAACCAATGTTAAGAAAGAGCTCTATAGGTTACTGCTATCAATTATCACGTCATGAGATGCTTCAGGCACGTAGTCTCTAACGGCACCAATATCACCATCTGACATTTAGTCAATTGTTTTTTGGTAAGTTTTCAAATGCTCATCTCTGAATTAGCTAACATCTTGTGAGTATTTACTGAGCTGTGTTTCCTTGGTGAACTAGACATGTTCTCTCCCTTCCCTTGTGGTATCTGGACATTTCAATTAGAGAAACAAAAATACAGTCGAAAGCGGAGCATTAAAAACTAATTCAGACAAGACCCAGCAGCAGCGACTTACTCAGACTATCGGGGCAAAGTGAGAAATCTTTTATTGTCATTTATTTTAAATGGGCAAATTTATTCCCATGCTGCTGCTCCTCTCACGCTGTGCACATGCAGGCAGGTGTGTGAGTGAGTTACTATGGTTACGGTAGCTTCACGTTTGATTCTTCTCAAAACCTTAGCATTTAATTTGCATCTTTTTTCTTCTTACCTGATTGACTATTTGCAACAAAACATTTGATGGTTCGGTGATCACGCCCCAATATCTTAGCAATTTCAAGAGTGCTGCATCCCTCTGAAAGGCTTTTTACCATTTTTGACCTTTCAGAGTCAGTTAGAACTCTTTTTCGGCCCATTTTGTCTGAGGAAAGGAACCTGCCTAATAATTATGCACACCTTGATATAGGGTGTTGATCTCTTTAGGCTACACCCTCCCTCATTACACAAAAACACATCACCTGATATGCTTAAATCCAATAAGCATTTAAGTTTATACAGCTTGGAGTTCGAAAATATGCAAAAAAAATGATGATATGGTCAAAATACTCACTTGCCTAATAATTGTGCACACAGTGTATATATATATATATATATTGAAAGAAACACACAAACACCACCTCCATAAATTGGATTTACCTTAAAAATAAAACTCAACATGGTGTAGCGTACATACCTGGCCTGGCATCAGTCACAAGCCATTAAAGAAGTTCATTGTAAGGACAAGCAGAGTTATGGACCCACAATTGACACTTTGTGACAGAAGGGTCCTTTGTCTCTGTTTCCTATCAATTTGATAGTTTGATGGTGGGAATAGTCACAAACAGTCCATGCTTTGAGAGACATAGAATCAGATCAAGGGTCAAAGGCTCCAGAGGATCAACGAATGGACACCAGGCAACTGGAGAATATAGGCAAAATCTCCAGTTTTAACAATAAGACTCTGCCTAACAATATTTGATTGTTTCTTATATAGGATAAGTGACACCAAAAGGTCTGATTATCACAAAGGTGTGAATCCTGGCCTCTCTGTGCCATGCATGAGCACACACACACACACACACACACACACACACACACACACACACACACACACACACACACGCACAACACCACCTCACTTCCTCTGTCCCTCTCTAGAGAAGAGTCCGATAATTACAATCCACATTCCAATCCTGAGAAGTGACCAGCAGAAATCTCTTCACAGACACAGATCTGAGGAAGAATATATAATTAAATATCTGTTCTGTAACTCATGAGATGTTCCTATGCAATAGTTTAATCCCAAACATCTATCCTATAGAATGTTTGAAATGTAACATGTAGATTTTAAGACAATGTCCTTCATGTGACCATACTGTCAACATCCTTCACACGAGGTAACACACACTACATGACATCCAGAATGTCCATATTATTATTATTACAGTCAAAGAACTGCTGTGTAATCCACATTTAGAGACTATTAGTTTTAGGAAATGTTTATATTGTTGTTTGATCAGTTAACCACTTGTATTTTGATTAATTCCAGATTTGAAGGATGTAATATGAAATCAACACTCCTATTACTCCTATCTGTCATTATTAGTGCCATTAGGTTTATATGTTATTTCATTTAATGTTTTGTGGTCATGATGAAAGACGGATGTGCGAGTTTATAGGTAAACTCTAAAATTAAACTATTCAAACGTTCTGTGGAA